AAAAGTATTTTCATATTATGTTAGTTCCATTATAATATTAAAATCTAAAAATTTTAACATTTATAATTCATCAAAAGGTAAGCCATACAATACTCGAAATCTCACGTACTTAAATAAGTAAATAGGATTTGTGAAAGTCATGGTATATCTTTCAGTGTGGCTTCTAGGATATGTGAGTGGGACCACAAAGACTAATAGAAAACTATGATTGTAATAAATATATTCTGATACGCACTAAAGGTATTGTATTTAATGTTAAAAACTATATAAAAATCTAAAGTATATATAAAAATTTATATTGATTCTTAAAGCATACATTATTACAAAAATTCAAATATTACATAAATAACTATTTCATACGTCAAATTTCAAGCCTTCTGTTTTAAGTTCAGAGTAGAGGGTTAACGAGCAGAACCCTACTGGTATATACACCTAATCATATTATGCAGGTATTTTTGTGGGGTATTCGACACAAACCCAGCACTATTCCTATCAACCCCCACCACCCCTACAAAATATGGTGAAATTCTGTCTATTTTTTCCTTATTTTAGCTGAACTCATTTTTGTCATACCCCCGAAAAAAGCCCTTCACAACCAATTTAAACAACCTCCCACACCCTTTACCGCCCCAATAGAATTTTCCTTGCTCCCCTCCCCTAACGTTTCCTACAGTCTCACATCATTTCTACGGAATCTCCCTAACCTTTACGGATCCTGACACCAACGCAAACACATGCATGTATACATATTATGTTATTCCTTAATTTATTTTAATAGCATACTACAATCAGACACAAGCTTCAAAAATGAGCTAATGCATGTATGTATTTTAGTGGATATTATTTGCTAGTAACATACACATTAATAACGTGGTAAATGTATGCTGACGTCATTTCTGTTATTCAGACCTATATTACTTTTCACTAAGACAACTCACCACCCTCTACAAACCTCAAAACATATACTTAAATATTTCCTTTTAAACACATATTTTCATACATATTTTTTCACACCGATCAGGACAAAAAAAGAATCACTTTATACAAACGAATACTTATCAATTTATTCATTTATGTGACGAAGAGTAAGATTAAAAATGAATTCACATCAGTTCTATTTCGATGCATATGTAAATAGATAGTTCTTTGTGCGCTAACCTTTTTTTGTTAACATTGATAGTAAACTATGTACAAAATTTTAATTTTTTACTTGTCTCTATACAATATTATACTAATATATACATTCATTCAAATAACACTCAGTTATACAATTATACAAACTGCGGAAGTAGTGCCCTATAAAGAAAGCTTATTGTTATGAGTCACCTCGCAGAACTAGTCAAGTGATTTGATTGCTATTTATTATGATGTTAGATGTATACATGGTCATAAGAAAGTTTTGTTATTATTTGTACTTAACGTGGAATATAATGAAATCAGTGCGAGTAATTTAATTTATGGACATTTCCCATCCATTACAAGATTGCCAAGACAACTCAATTTTTTCAGTTAAAACTACGATTTGCAGAAAAATTGTCATACGTAGCAAATTAAAAAAAGTTCTACTTCGACCAGGATTTGAACCTGGAACTCTTTTCTTGACGGGAAAGTGCGTTACCAATTTCGCCATTGAGGTCTCGGCGACTCCTCTTCTCAATTGCTACATTTTATATTTTCGGCGATTTTTCAGTCCATGCCTGTTTATATCGTATATAAGAATATTAGAAATTAATCTAATTTTATCGATGGGTAAATATTAATGCGAGAAATTAAATTCATCGTCATTTTCCATCCATTAAAAGATTGCCAAGGCAACTCGATTTTTTCTGTTAAAACTGCGATTTATAGATAAATTGTCATACGTAGCAATTGAAAAAGAATGCCACCTCGACCCGGATTTGAACCTGAAACTCTTTTCTTGCCGGAAAAGTGCGTTACCAACTTCACCAGGTTCAAATTTTGGTCAGTGTGGCTTTTTTTTTAATTGCTACGTATGACAATTTCTCTATTAATCGTAGTTTTAACTGAAAAAATTGAGTTGCCTTGGAAATCTCCTAATGGATGGGAAATGTCGATAAATTCAATTACTCGCGTTAATACTTACCCATCGATAAAATTGGATTAGTTTTAAATATTCTTATATACCATACAATAAAATTAGAATAGTCTTCTCTGTTGTACGTTAATAAAATCAAAACATTTACATAAGGAGTGAAGCAGTAGGTCTATTTAAAAGCCGTTCGCTCATCTTATTTATGACCTTTAAGGAGTCACTTTAAACTCACTTTAAATTATCAAAATCAAGTAACGCAGTTGCGCTTCACGTAAGTATAAGCAGACAAAATGGGGCACAGTGCTATTATAAAAGCCTAAATTTGGCTCTCCAATTTTAATAAGTTAAGAAAAACATCACAAATTTTCTTAATTAATGTGAATTCAATTATTTATCAATTTTTCTTAACTTATTATAATTCGAGAGCCAAATTTAGACGTACATAATAGCACAGTGCCATGTTTCGTCTGCTTGAACTTGCATGTAGCACAACGGCGCTACTCGATTTTGGTAATTTAAATTATAAATGGTAACTTTTTTTAACGTGTATAAACTTTTTCTTTGCTGAGCAGTTTATTTTAGTCAAGAAAAAATATTAAATAAATGTTGTTGCGAAAGGTAAAATAGTATTACCACCTTTAAGCAAATACAAAAAAAAGCATCATGCAGCCGTTATTTGATGACGAAAGACAGTTCACTCAGTTATATTATCAATTGTTTGGTTTTGTAACACCTAATGCAAATATATTGCAAGAAAAGAAAACTAGATTACAGTTCCAAATAACAAGGTAGCGAATATTTCGTAGTAAAAAATCGTCAACAACTATTACAATTACTGTCTGAGTCTGTTAGGGGGCAGTGATGAGTTTAAAAGAAAAAAAATGACGCCAAGTTTTTTAAATTGTTATTAAAATTATTAGCGCAATAAAAAGAATGATTAAATAAAAAATATAATAAATACCGCTTATATAAGTTAATTATGGTTGTCATAAAAGCGTTAGTTGGTCTGTGGCGGATAAAAAAACTGTTCATAATAGATGTAACTAAGATATTGTTGTTGTGTGTGCTGTTGCTGGTGTTGGATCGACCTGAGATAGTATTGGTGTTGGAGATGGTGATGGTGTTTTTAGCGGCGGTGTTGGTAGTGGGGGTGGTGGAGGTGGTAGTTATTGCATCAACCACCGTATTATAGGGCTTCCGCTAGGTAAAGGTATATCCGCTACATTTGTTACATAAGATGCTGCTGCTGTAGGAGGTAGCATTTCTGCAGCTGTTGTTGGTAGCGTTGCTGCTGTTAGCACTTCTGCTTCAGCTGTTGGTGCTAGCGTTGCTGGTGGTAGCATTGCTGCTGGTGGTGGTAGCGCTGCTACCGCTATAGATAGCGCTGATGCTGATGGTGGTTGTGTTGTTGCTGCTGCTGTTGATGGCAGCATTGTTGCTGCTGGTATCGCTGCTGCTACTGCTGGTAACGTTGCTGCTGGAGATGGTGGTAGTGTTGCTGCTGTTGTTGCTTCTGCAGCTGTTAAATTTTGTGGCAGCACCTTTGCATGCATCAACTCGAATTCCTCTAACCAGTCTAGTGCTTCATCGATTAGTGAATGGAATGGTTGGTCCAATGGAATGGAGTCCAACGATTTCATTAATGTTTATTCTGTAAATAATAAATAATTCTGTGTCACAAAAAGTTGGTAAAAATATATGACAATATGAGCGTGAATAAATTCTATGACAGTCAAAGAATCAAAGCAAAAATTCAATACGATTCAATTAGGTTTTTTTTTTTTTTTTTTTTTTTACCTACATCTGTGGAGTCAAAATATTTTGGTAGAAATGAATGCGGATTGTTTGTGTCATTATATTCATGCATAAAATTTAAAACAATAAATTTTTTTTTCACTTATTTACCGTTAAATTAAAATTGAAAAAAAATAAATAAATAAATGAAATTTAAAAAAATTACTGTTTGATGGAGATTCAGTCATTCCTGCACCAGGTCAGGGCATCTGGGGTGTTGACGACCTTGGTTCAGGATTCACCTTCCTCGGCTTCTTAGACTTAAACACTTGCACTGTATCATTTACGGATGACTTCTTAACCATCTTGAGGGTGAAAGGGTACTGAGAGTTTAGGAAAGTATGATTTCGTACAAGGATGGCATTTGCCATTTCTCTATTTATACAAACCATCGAAATTATTTTGTTAAGAAATTGGAGAGGGGGTATTTTTCAAAATATAAGCGCTTATATAGCACTAGGTACGCAGTTTAATTGTTTTGGGATATCTATGACTCAGACTGTATGTTCTTTGACTATTGCAATGCATTGTAGTGGAAGTGATAGAGACAGAAAAGAAGAGAAAGACTAGTTCACACTGCAAATGTAAAAAATTTTAATGAAAAACTTTTTCTAAAAACATGAATTGGCGTAACACTAGTCATTCACTTAAAGTGTTGGGAAATACATGTTATTTTGGCAGTGTATTCCCTGACCATTACACTTAATACATATAGAAGACAGGTATAAAGGGCTAGGAAAATAAGTTTTGCATTCAAAGTGTGAAAAATATTTACATTAAGTTTTTCAAATGTAATTTTCTGCAATGACATTTGGTATTTAACTGAATCGCTAAAGGTAATCTGCGACTCTATTGGTTTGAATTTTCACTGTTACAAGTAGATGAGATGTTCATTTGCAAATTGAAAAACTTGTAATAATTCATGTGCAGTATGTCTGATTTTTAATGTACCTGCAGCATTCGTCCAAACTTTCTTAGGTGTCTCATTACACATATCTAGTTAAGGAAGGACAGTACATGCTGTTAATATAGAAAAACTTAATGCATCAAAACTATAAGAATTTTTTAAAAACTTCTATTTATCTACTACAGCACGCATCATTTGACATACACGCAAATGATGAATAGGCAAATATTGTTACTGTCGATAGTAGATGACCTACCACATATTTTCACAGAGAAATAATTTTTAGCAAGAGCTGGGAGAACGCCTAGTATGTTGTAGTGATGACACAGCCTCTTAATACTCTGGTCATTGGAATGAGGGACTATTCACCGCATAGATCGTCCAATGGGAGCGGTGAGCATCCCAACCGCATGCGAAGCAAAATATGATTTTCTGAAGAAAAAAAAAAAAAAAAAAATTCGGGCTTGCAAACGAATCCAAGTATCCATTCGTCAAGACAAGCAACATGAACAGAAAAAAAAAGAAATATTTCCACACTTTCTTTAATTTTTCTGGAAAGAAAAAAAATTTTGAAAAAGTTACGTACCCGGTATGCGCTCCACGTGGTTTAAGCCAAAACCTTTTAAAGAAACTTTTAAGACTTACATATTACGTAGATAAATGTAGTGAGACTGTGCCTTCTAACACGTACTACGCTTTTACATTTTACTAGCACATGATGGTTAGAGATAGAACTGTATACTTAGGTTAATATCGTTTATAAGAACCGAGTATAACTTTTACAATCCTTGTTTAACACCTCTGTAAAAAAATGTAATATTGAGGTAAAAAACCTGCGCAGAGAACAATCGATAACAGTTCATTAATTATCAAAAAATCTCAAGTTTATACGTACGTACGAAATTGATCTCTTTGCTTTAAGGGCGGCGTAGAAATATGAATCACACAATTATTTGTCAAGCATGTAACTTAAAATATCCATGTATTTTAAATGGAATGTATATACTAAGTGATAAGAGGATAAAAAATTGTATGTTTAATAATATTTTACTAATTTTCTAGTACCGATACAATAAAGAACAGTAAAAAAAAAGATTGTTCTGATGTAATACGTCTTTTTATAATAAAGATTATTAAATAACAATTGATTTTTTGAGTTGAAACAATTGTCAGGACATAGCTGCAGGAAGGCCATTTAAAATTACGTAGGTGGCTGTAAAAAAGGTATCTTAATCTTCATGCTCTACACGAGCTGTAATAGATTTTCCGAAAAATACTGTGGGGTTCAACTAAAAAAAATTTGAGAAAGTTTGTACTGTAAAAATGCTCCTCTCCCTATTGATCTTTTACTGCCTTCACCACCCTTCATATAATATTGTAATAAGGATAAATATGTTATGCACATATTTATAATTGTTAAAGTTTTTGGATTTTTCCATCGCTCTCCCCATCTCCTAACTAGTCTAGAGGCCATTATAATTTTACACAGTCCTCCTTAACCTTCACAGTTCTGATCATTAAAACATTAATTTATTACTGTATGAATGGTTTAGAATTGAAAAAAAGGTGATTATACGTGTGTTACAAGTGTAAAGTAGGTATTTAAATAAACAATGAAACTGTACACAAAATGGTAATTGGAGCATGACTTTGTTTTCATTGTTTATTACACGGCTATGAAGCAAATGTGTGGATGTTTCACCTTTACATTAGGCATTTAAATGTTTAGTTCTGTGATTCAATGGGCACTGTGTGGACTTCATAAGAAAAATTAAAAAAATTATCAATAAGTGGTAGAAGAACTGTAACAGTTTCGTTCCTATTGTATTTAGTCGATTGTTTTCCAAAAAAAAAAAAAAAAAAAAAAAAACTTATAAACCAAGGATTACCCACGTACACCCGTGTGGCGATTTGCGTGTTTGCGGACTAGTGTGGGTGGATGGTGTTTAAAATTCGCGGTTTGAGTGTCAAAGAGAGGATTATTTTTGATCGATCGAATAGCTGGATTTCACGCATGGGAGTCATTCATTGTGCGTACATGGTTGTACATACCCTGCACCGGGAGGGCGGAAGGATTATAGCGTACACGCGCGCGAGGACTTTAATTAATTTCGGGCATTTTATTTGGCTTCGGGGAATGATAACCGTGGGAAATCGGTGGGGCAGCGAATCATTTTCTTGGGATTGCAGTATAGGATTGATTATCGTATACATATACGTGAAACGAATTCCCATGAAAATTAAATCAATAGGTGCCAAATTATCATCGGGGGTGNGAATATTAGGTTACATGAGTTTACTTAAAACTTTGAATAAAGTATCTCAGAGTATTTCAAATTTATCAAATACTACCCACCTCTAGTCGTATGTAATAGTGATAAGAAAATAAAAGGTGATGTTTTAAAATAAAAAATTACTTCATCATTAGTTACATTTACTAAAAGATTGAGTTCAACAATATTTGTATATCTGTATTGTTGTATTGTCCTGTTGGAAGACACATCATTATTCATCCTCTGTCAATAATTCAACATTGTGATATTTTGTATCACTATTTGACTACTAATATAATAGTCATAAATGTTTCCACCATTAAAAATTGTGTTATAAGAAGGAATTGGAGAAAAGTTGGATATTACTGGAAGAACATTTTCAGTGAATTGGGAAAAGATCATGATATTGACCTCATTCTATTTCCTAAAAACGATCATCAACTGAAAATCGTGACTATTTCGCTTGGTCCCATAAATCGTTAAAGTAATTTCACTCGTTCTTGAATAAATTTCGAACGATCGAGTGCTTGCGAATTCAGATTTAATTTTCGAAAGTGAACGTAAATAGGTCAAGTCTCTTTACTTTTTACCCACTTGAATGGTACTTTTAACTTTTGAAAGTTCAAGTAACTGAGCATTGGCTTTGATAATCTTCGTCCAAAGTCTTTTATCCTGCAATAGTACGCAAAATCTCATTTGAAATCGTACCCAATTGAATTATAATTAATTGAATTTACGTATATTGCTATGAACAGTAAATCTAATGATAATCAATTACTTGTGGAATCGATTGAGGAAAGTTATAGTTCTCTTCAACTTACTAGCAAAATTATTCAGAAAAGCCAGTTTTATATTGAAGAATATAGTGATTTAAAATTCCTAAGCTTTCACAATCTAAGAACGCAACAGGAATCCTCCAATTATTTCGAGTTTTCTTTAAAAGAAGATCTGTGGAAACGAAAGTGGATGTAAGTAACCGATCACTTCGGCATCATCGACTTTGTCTGTCCTTATTTTCCATCTACCTGTTTATCATCGTACAATTATCAAGAGAAGAAAAAGAACGAGGTGATCGCAAACCAGCAATTACATAAAATGCGATCGAAGAGTCTAGCGGCACAAAGAGACTCTGTGTCCCTACGTTTCAATCATATACGGTGGTTAATCCAATCGAACTGCGGGATAAGCTACCATTTGATCCTCCTCCTTCTGAGTGGTGGAGAATCATCTTGTAAAGGGTTTTTCGCGCTTCTCGGAAACGTGTTTATAAACGCTCGCCAAGCGAAATTTTTTTTTTTTCATAGGTAAAATCATCGGTTGCTTCCATTGAAACGTGTATTCGTACATAAGATGAACGGAGCAAAATGATACGTGCACAGGAGGAACGTTTAATTTCATAATTACTTTATTGCAATGCTCGAATATTGGCAAGTGGAATCGCTAAAGGAATTTTTTTTTTCTCTTAACTTTGTTATTCAGTTTCCATGTGGTAACTGGAACAGCTCAATTTAGTTTTCACAAATTTTTTTTAAGTTGAGAGCTGTCAGATTCTTTCAGAATACGTAGTTTGACCAAAATATTTACTAGTACCTTATACATAGTTACAATGGCCGTCGACAGCCATAATGATCAATCTGTAGTCATTGTATTGTATTGTACCGTGTCAGTAGACTCTTC